AGTCCAGTTCATCTTAAACGCCAGGCCATGCTTGTGTTTCTTTTGTTCAGAACAAAGGAGAAAGAAATATGTGCTTCCAGTTGGGTGATGGTGATGGTTGGTGGTATGGTATTTTACAAGTTGCTCGCTGTGGCACGGTAACTGGACACCCTGCCCACAACCAATATTTTCCCCTTTCCCATCGTTACACACATGCCTAAAGGCGATGCGATGAAGCCCCTCTTATAGACGGTTTCATACTCCGGTCTATGCCCATCCCCAAGTCTATAACCGTCTATTACTCTATGGTGATTTTCCCATCGGACGTATTGAGACTCAACGTCATACTAATGACACAGCGGCCGGATTTCTCTGATCGCTCATTTCACATACCCCAGGACGTAGTGTGAATCTCGGCCTCCATAATTGTGGATATTAAAGCGTTTAGGTCTGGTATACAATCAGCATGAATACTGGTGAATTGGCGCAGAAGCATGATGGGAAACACGTACGAACTTGGCCATGAGGGCAACCATCAGATCGAAAAGACCAATGGCCTCGACGAAGGCGAAACCCAGAATGGCGTATGAGAAGAGCTGGCCACGGAGAGCAGGGTTGCGGGCAACACCGTTCAGGAGGGCAGCGAAGACGAGACCGATACCGATACCAGCACCGGTTAGACCAATAGCGGCGGAACCCATACCCAAGTTCTTGGAGACCTCAACCATAGCCTGGGCAATCTCGGAGGAGTAAGCACGACGCTGGAAAGCCTGGCGGGTAGTGGCGCTCAGGATCTTAGAGGCCTGCTGGCGCTTAGCAGCCTGGAAAGGAGTGGCATTGCCTATTGGGAAGATTTCGTTAATCGTTAGGTTCTCGGTTGGAATCAATCGGTTATTCGACGGCTTCGATGGCAACCAATTGAGGGAATTTTGTGCAAATAAACGTACTGGTGATGGTGCGCTTAGCAGCAGTGCTGGCGAAAGAAGCACGGACGGCAGGGCGAGCGACCTTGGTGCCCATAGAGGCGAAGGCGCGAGAAGCGACAATGCGAGCGGAGGCCATTGTGATGGGTGTGGATGTGTGATTGGAGATGAGGATGGGAGATGTCGAGAGGTGAAGGGATAGACGAATGAGCTGATGGAAGAAGAGATAAGAGCTGGAAGAAGAGGAAGGGAAGCTTGTTAGCGGTGCGGTGGAAAGGAAGAAAAGTTTGACGGAGCTCTAGGAAAACGACCGAACAGTTGTTCCGGGGCTGGGCATGGACCACCAGCCAGTATCGACACCGTGTCTGAGTGAATGAAGCTGGACTGTGGACTTGAATGAAACCCACATGGCGTCGACACAATAGAGGTCTAGGGAAACTTTTTCTGCCTCTAATGGAGGCTACCCAAAGGAGACAAGGCTGACTGGTTTCATTATTTCGCTATTGCTTGTGTACAGGGGTGTCGGGGATTTTCGGGTGCGGCGCTTGTAGGTATACCTACTGTCTATTTTGCGCTACCTACTGTGCACTCCGTCATTCTTGGCGTGATTGGCTTTGCGGCTTTTTCCTCCCAACCTTGACCGACAATACCTATCATTCACCAACCCACATGAAAGGATTCATCCCGACATCGAGATCACTCATCTACTCAATATTGAGGATAGGAGACGTCTATTCACTCGTATTGGGCAACACGGACAGTTAGATCATATCGACTACTCCCAAAACCCAATCCAGGTTGAGCAGACGGTGTGAGAGGTTGCAATGAAAACAGATGAGAACGACATGAACCCCCACTGACTAGAGTCGGACCTCCACTTAGACCTGGCTCGTGGGTAGCAAACATGGAGCCCAGCTGGCCTTCGAGAGAGCTCATAGGTAACCGTGGGTGGAGCTTGTTGGACGATAGAATGATAGGTACAGTACAACACGCACTATAGAAGGTATGAGCGAAAGAGCATAAAAAGGAAGACACATCCTCGTCGCCAGCAGTCGAATTGATGACCATTGCTTCTCCGAGACCACACAATTTCGCTGCGGGTTCCCGTGCATAGCGGTGCAATGCTGAATGTGAGTCAGCCTCCCATACGGCTGACCGTGTTCCAATCACACGTCTATGTGACCTATTTCAGGAATTGGTAACCTACAGGGGGCCAATCGAAATTCGGCAATCGTTCTATTCGGGTAACCCTGGCCTGCGGTACTCTGCTTAACGTGCCATGCAGGCCGTACCTGGTACATGCCGCCCAATGCGAATCCCTACCCGCACCGAACATATGTATGTACCTAGGTACCTGACTTTCTCTACGAAAGGAGAGGCTTGTCTGTTTCCAGGAGATTGGGAGATAGTGCAAGGATGTGGGGGTACCTACATCAATCAACCGATTTAAGATAGGAGAAAGGGAAGAATTTTTCTGGCCACTTTGAAGCACCTCGGATCACAGAAGCTTAAGGGTATCTAGACTAGTCATGGGTATTTAAGCCTCAAATGCAACCTCAACGAAGAGGCGACCGAAGGAAATGCCCTGGAGAATAAAACTCTATACTAACAAGGTTATAGTAGTAGATTAGGTTTAACAACACCGAAGTAGCAAGTTGCATAGAGCTCTCAACAGAGCGTAGAAGAAGAAGAGATGGTCATAATGATATACGTGTTTTGAATTCCTACACGCTGCGCCGTAAAAATTTTTCTTCCAGCTGACGTGAAATGACGGTAGTGTCAGATCTGTGTAGTGCCGATGCAGAACAGGGGGGGAGACATGGGATGGAACCCTTCAAGGGTACCCGGCACAGAATACAGATACCCACGGGACGAACGCGAGATGCTAATTGGCCGGGTACTAGCCGGGAGGTATTGAGTATTGAATCCATGATGCTTGTTTAATCGAGCCCACCTAGAGCTGCCACCTTTCATAGCTGGAAACCCTCCCCTGCCACCCCCATTTAAGACTAGTTCAATGATGTGCCCGTCGAGAACAATGTTGGCGCCCTCGATGCGAAATCTCTCGGTGAGCTTGCAACTTAACTACGGCTTCCGTGGTCTGTAAACGCAACGGAATCGCAATGCAGCCAGAGGCCAAATCCGACAGATTTGCAGAGCACACCTGCCGAACCCGCTCCGAAATTAGTTGAGTTCTGCTCGTGATGTAAGGGACAAGTCGCGTGTCTGGCACCAGAAAATAAGCGTGCTGCTACGTTGTCTGACTCTGTCCTGTAAAGATAACCGCGCGACTCTCGACGTAGTCGCTTGAAGAGCCGACCGGCACAGGCACATTTAACTATCTGCTACGACCTTTGTCACAACACAGCATTGATGGCTACCAGTTTACTCGGTGCTACAGGGCGCCGCTACATCTTCAAAGAATTGATACAAGAGAGGCCCGCCCTTGGCCGCGTGTGGTTGGCAACGTCCGCCCATCCTTTCCAATTTGCATCATTTGAGCATTGAGCTGATAATGGCGCCTAAGATGCGGGCATGACAAGTTCATCTTGAAAGATATCCCAAATGGAATATACTCGAGCTTCAATGAGGACATACGACCCAGACTTCGCGAACACGAAAACCTACGCTTGCCCTCAGACACCATCCCTGGCAAATGCATCTTTGTATACAAATACCTGACGGACGACTTCCTGAGCCTGGTTAAGCAACAAATGCCGACGGCGGATAGAAAGCAAGTCCTCAAGGCTTGCCTTCGAGGGATCGCGGAGTTGCATGACCGAGACATTGTGCATCTCGGTAACATGAACCATGATGCCTGAGCCCGCGATGGAGTAGAGTCATAGCACTAATCATCCATCTTCAGACATCAAGCCTGACAATATCATGGTCAACATGCGGCCGGACTCTGTCATTGACCAAGTCCAGATTATTGACATCGAAAATGCCGCATACCTTCCCAAAGGCCGGTGCATTAAAGGAATGTTGGCCGGAAACGACAATTGGCGCAGCCCAGAGGGGCATTTCAAGGGCGAGCTCAACAAAGCCTCTGACATTTATTCATTTGGAGCCGTAGTAAGTTGGATCGCGAGTGAATTGCGGCGAACGACCCCTCTCTAACAAGTTCGCATCACGCAGTGCATCTATGCTATGCTTGACCGTATCATCTTCGGGCCAGACGACGATTTCCGGAAACACGAGTCGCTAGGCGCCCTGCCTGCGTTCATCCGCCTGCAACGTCAAGTCTCGTACTTTGGGGACAAGGACGGGCTGAACGGACTCATGAAGCACGTCGGAGACGAGGAGATCAACTGCCAGATCTTGGGGATGCTTTGGGATGAGCGGGCGGAGGAGCATATTCCGTATAAACCGCTCTCGACATGGCCAGATGTCGGAGACGTCTCGTTCAAAGACCTCGTCCAGCGCATGTTGAATCTAGACCCTGCGAAGCGAATCACGGCTCGCCAGGCATTAGGTCACTCTTGGTTTGCAGGATTGTGACCTCTAGTCTTTCCCGTTTCCAGATTTCCATCTCTCCGATTTCCCCTGCTATTTTCCTGTTCCGCAGTTTCCTTCCAATTCCCCCCGAGAAAAAAAAGGCCCTCTTACTCCTCTCAAACGCCTGTTTGCTGTAACAATTCTTGGACTGTGACTTGTTGTTGCGAGTGACTTGTTCAAGGGTATACCTACGGGATAAACGCGAGATGCTAATTGGCCAGGAGGTATTAGGTATTGAAACCTAGTTTGATCCTGGCCCAGTGTACTTGTAGCATTCAGCAGGTACCGTCTAATCATAACCAACCTTAATTGAATACAGGTAATTGTCAAAGATACGTCAATGTTTTGCGCATCTTGTCGGGTCCGGTATATAACCAAGAGCTTGTGTCATCCTATATGTAACCCTTGTATGACCCGCCTGCCTACATTAGTAGATTACAGCATGGGAGTATACCTACATAGTCGCAGAACACTATGCCTAACTCTTTCATATATCTAAATCACTAGGTAGTTCTGGCCCCCATCAAAACCCCAACCAAAAAAGATTGACTCGCGATCTGATTCGCATTCGGACCAAAAAAGGTACCAAAACATTTGTGTCGATCCGGACGGGACTCGAACCCGCAATCTTCACCAATCGTAGAAAGACCGGAAAGTGACGCCTTGCCATTAGGCCACCGAACCATGGTTTTACAATCCACTGTCATTTACCATGTGCTCGCTGTCCTATTCATAGCCTCGAGTGCACGGGGGATACCCCTTGAATTGCCCATCTAGTTTAGACGTTAGGACTCAAGAGATATAGACTCTCAGTTTACCTTTGGGAGGAATAGAAACATGCGATATACCTACCAATCAATCCGTTGCCCTTGGCGGCGGCCTCGCCCAATGTGGGATGCTAAGTTGCTTTGTGGATAATGAGCGGTGTCGTGATTTCAACCTATGAAGCGAGTCAGATCACGGTGGCCTGTACGGCGGTTGGGTGTTCACCCGCTAGACATACCTGAGCTATACCTAGGAAGCACCAAGTATGGTGTTACTATTTGTGCTTCGTGGGGGAGAGGGTGTTTCCTACTAGTTTCATAGACGAGTAGGGAACCGCTATCGGTTTGACGTCTTATCGAGCCACAACTCGGGGTAATAAGAACAGTAATGCCTGTAGTATCCTCGGAGATTATCTCGTAGGTATAGTTAACAAGCTCCAAGACACATGTCACTAATACAAGAGCTAATAGAAATTCAGGGGCTAGTAGGGGCAGTTTAATCGGATATAAGTGAGTGGGTTACGGTACCGGGTCACAAAGAAAAGTTCAACTTCAGCTTAAAATTAGTTGTCCCTATATAGCCACCATAACTTGAGTTACGTGTTGACGAATATTCAACACGGTGGGCTTGAGTATGACCCTGACGTTGTGTCTAGAGTGTGGCTTATAAAGGATATTGACTGTTTATTATATTGAAAGCGACTTGAAGAGCGAGATGACCTTATCTTGTGCTGGAAAAGGCATTATGTTACTTGTGCAATTGCATAGAATGTGCAACACACAGCGCAGCAACCTACTTGTTATCGGGCAAAGGGCTCGAGGCTCAAAGTATGGGCTCTTTTGTAACCAAGTATGAACAATCAATACTTTGCCTAGGAGTTTATGATAATCTCCTAGCCCTGAGATCCCTCGTAACCTACCATCATAGCCCACCTACTATACACCATAATCTTCGCCTTTATTCTAGACTCGCACCTTCTCCTCAGCACGAGTAACAACTCCGTAGAAACCATCACGAAACCTTAAAATTTCTCTCTCCCAGCCTCAGATCTCACTGCCCATATCCGAACCGAGCAAACTCCTCTAAATTGTGCCGCGAATCCTCATCCACGATGTCGTGTGGCGGACGGAACGTGACGTTATTGCCGTGAATCTCGGCCACCTGGCCGGTCAGCGACGTGTCGGTTAGGAGCTTCCACAAGCCACTAGTCAGTGTGTCGGGCGGTGTCACGACCATCTTCTTGAAGAGGCCGTGAGTGCCTGATATGTTCGTTTCTGTTTTTATGGGTTTACCACGTTAACCTAGCTGCTTATTTCCATACCGAACTCTCTGAAACCAACGCCTACTATAGCCTTCCTTTTCTTTGTTGGTATGCTCGCGTGTCTGCTGCCCATGACCGCTCGACAAGAAATAAAAAGGAGAAGAAAAGAATTTAGGAACTTACCGAGAACAGCCGGCGCGAGCGCATTGATTCGGATCCCGATGTGCGGTTGCGCGTATACCGGACCAAGCGAGCGCACGAGACCGACAATAGCGTGCTTTGATGCCGCGTAGAGTGGCGCCGGGGGAAACGGGTACATGCCCACGTTGGACGCGGTGCAGATGATGAGGCCCCGGAGTCCCGTGGCAGCATCCGGGGCGTTGCGCAGCATGTAGTACATTGCTAGCTTCACAGCTAGGAGGCGAATTCCATGATCTTGTTAGTCGACTGATTGACTATCACGAACCTCGCGTTCCGCTCTCATTGATAAGTTGATGCTAGAGCATAGGTAAAACCTAGGCTTCCTGTAGAAGCTTTTTGGCTTGGCTTCTTGCACGACTAGAAAGGGGGGACGGAAGTGGGAGAAAAATACATGGAAAGAAAGCGAAAACGAGGAACATGGGGGGAAAGGTAGTAAGCGATGGCGAAATAGCTAATGTAGAGGTATACATACAGTATACATTACCCGTGAGATTAACATCCAGTATCTTCAACTTCGGCTCCTCCAGCTCAAGCTCAAGCTCAATCTCACTCGCGTCCTTCCCCGGCGCCGGCGGTACGATCCAGCTGCGTCCACCCTCCGAGATGCCTGCATTCGCAATGACGACGTCGACGCGTCCGACGTCATCATACACGGCTTTGAAAGCGGCAGCCTGCTCCGCCCACGACGAGATGTCACATCTTCTGAAGCTCACACTTCCGCCCTCAATCCACTTTTCCGTATCATTCATGCCGGAACCATCGTCAGTGCTAGAGTCGGAGTCGTCATGTCTCTGGCAAAAGGTAGCGAGTTCGGCTGCAACGGCTGGGCCATTAACGCCGTCGATGTCCAGGATCGTCACCGTGTCTCCCCGCCTGGCGAAATACTCGCTCATGATCTTCCCCAGACCGCTTGCGCCGCCTGTTACGATGACACTGCGGCTTCTTCTTAAGGTCGCCATTGGCGGTTCGATGATAAGAGAGGATAGTGGGTGTTAGAAGCGAGGATATGAGATTTAAATGAATTGGGTACGAGATAATAAGACTCCAACGTTAAGAACAGAAATCGACTGTCAAATAGGGGAGGATACTTAGTATACCACTTCAACAAGGTACGAATATGGCTATCAAGTAGGCAAACATAGAGACGTAACATAGAGAGATGTAGATGAAGTCCTCTCCGTCCCAGCGACCGAGCTAGCTAAGCCACCACGGCGAGATGCTCAAGTGGTCTTTCTAGCTACCGTACCATCGGCACCAGCAATCTTATACGACCTAGACTAGCAGAGCCCGTAGTTTCGGTACGTGGTTCTAACCGTGCCTGTTACTTTTGGGGTATTGGCGCAGCGGGGTATCGGCAATTGTGCAATAAACCTACCCATTACCCCAATCATGCGGTACAATGCAACGCGAGGATCTCTTATACAGAAAGGCATCGCCTTTTGCGATAACTCGGCGGATGACTGGCAGGTTAAAGCCTTTTACCATTTTACCGAATTGTTTTGAGAACAAAATGCGGTGTAAGTCGCAACAACTGTGCAGCAGACAATACTCTGCAGACCATGAAAATTGATGCTAGGTGAGATGCGTTTCCTTGTTCCTTTCAAGGAAGCGGGATCGATCTGCTAACTACGTATTTATATAATTTATATAGATATATATGTACATATACGAATTTTTAGCGCAAACTGGCGCACTAAAACAGGGCCCGTCAAAACGCGATGACGGCGGTGCGTACGGACGCTCTTCTTTGACCAGCAGTGATCAGCCATCACGTACATTGCTCAACGCCTTCTCTATGATATCTATAACGCCTGGATTCTATCAGAAGGGTTAATGGGCAGTCGCTTCGCCTAGATGTATACGTAAGTCTAGCTTCTCCGGGGTTTCCAGTTGCCTCTCTGCTTTAATAGCCTTCTCATCAGTATCTCGGTCCTCACGCGGACCCCAGTTATCATATAGCCATTGCCGAAACCCCATAGGTTCAAAATCGACAAGCTCGTTCAAGTTGGCGCTTTCAAAAGTATATCGGCCATCAGCTATTTGCAGAAGCTGCTGCATAGCAAGCCACCTTTCTTCATCGCTGTGGTTTTCGTAGTAGTCAATCCAGGCGATTATCTCGGCATAAGGTCTACTTATTACTTCAAATTGGACTGAATAACACTTTAGCTCAATCTACTAGAAAAAAACTCGAGTAGCGTACCTTGCCTAACCTCGCTACACAAGGTTTGAATCCGTTGGGGCGTGATACACGCTCCACGCATTGTGAATTCGAGTGGCCAACTATCTATACCAAGCTCAACAGCCGCGGCTACAAAACGTGCTACATCAACAGCAGAAGTTAAATTTATTAGGACCGGATGACCTTGGGAGTTACCATCAGGCAGTTCTGCTTTGCCGAGCTGAATATCGATAAAAGTTCCTCCTAAGCAGTGGCGACAAGTGGTACCCATAATATTATATGCCTCGAGGCCCCCTGGACCAAAATGCTCGTAAAACATACCACAGGAGAATACGGTATACTTCATCGGATTATGCCTACTCGATGCCCAGTGTCTAAGCCTCTCTAGTGCGGCCGAAGAACCCTTGTCGAAAGGACCAAACTTAGGCGCAGGCGTCATGGTCAAAGGGCCCCCGAATTCCGATGGCACAAAAGTTCTTACCCGAGCCCGCCGTGCTGCATCGATAAGGTTCAGTTGTTCCGCTCCAGAGAATGTTGATATTACTAGGTCTACTCCTTGTAGAGTATACTGCAAACTGTCTATGTTACGGTAGTCAACTACGACAACTTGACAGTCATAGTTCGCTTCAAATTCAGCATGTGGCTTTGTAAATGTGAGCCGCTTACTAGTTCTGTGGATAAAGGCGAGTACTTACAGCTCTGGAGAGTACCATCACGCTGTTGGCGGTTCGTGATAGCTCTTGCACTAATAGCTCGGCAAACCCACCGCCCCCTGCTACAGCGATTCTCATTATGGGCGCCGGTGATTTCCTTGACGTGGTACCGTCTGGCTTGCCTTGAGGGTCAACATGATAATTTTGGAAATCGTGTCCTTGAAAGCGCGGCTCCGAGACTAGGGAGGCCTCTTCGATGATGGTATTATCTATAGCAGCGCTGGTGTCGTTAGCATCTGTAGAGAAAGAGATAGCTCCTTGGCTAAAATCGCACGCGATAGACTGTTCCCGGCCAATATTCTGTCCTCGGTTACTTCGTGAAGGATGATCAGATTGTTGGCTTTCTTCATCATCTTCAAGGAGAGGAAGGGCGAATAAGGCAAATCGCTCTAGATGGTAAATCATATGTTTTTGCCGCTCGAAAGATGTAGATAGGGGAGTTGGACACAAGGGACAATCTCGTCGAGGATGCTCGGATTGTGCCACAGCGTTTGCTATAAGTTCCTCCGAGGAAAGCTCAGGCGGCGCATCCGGATGTTCATTTCTCAAATGTAGTTTGTATTCG